TTTCATTATTCCTGGTTAATATGACTAATACCATTGTTTTATTATTCCTGGTTAATATGACTAATACCATTGTTTTATTCTACAGTTGAACTTGGATTGAATGAGGATGATAACTCTACTAAAGGCCCAACCCTTAGTGTATATAAGAATTCATTTGAGTCTGTCTTTTTGGAAGACACAGAAAGATTTTATACTGCTGAAAGTATGGAATTTCTACGGGAAAACCCTATGACAGAGTACATGAAAAGGGTAGGCAATAAAAATCATGTGTATGTTGCTAATGTAGGATGTTGTACTATTTAAATCAAACAGTAAATGTGAGTATTATTCTCTGAAATATAGGCAGAGGCCAGACTTTTAGAAGAACAACGGAGAGTACAATCATACCTTCATGAAAGCACCCAGGATGAGGTAACTTAAAACATTATTTCAATATGGGTTACCATGCAATTTATAGGCTGTTTATAAAGTCATCCTTTTTCTCATCCAGTTTCCCTTCCATTCTATTTTTCTCATGCAATACCATTGTTTTATATTTCAGTTGGCAAGAAAGTGTGAACAAGTCCTTATTGAGAAGCACCTTGATATCTTTTATTCAGAATTCCAGAATTTACTCAAYGATGATAAGAATACTGGTCAGTAAATAAGTGCACGATTGAGTGGTTTAGAGCGGATTTCGTATGAGTGGGACACCGTTACTGCACGGTTACTGCACAGTTACCGTACCTGGCCTGCACAATTTTGGTGAACCAATGGGGTACTAGAATTTGGTTACAGTACGATTACAGTCACAGTACAGTACCGTCCGTTTCCCACTCATACGAAATCCGCTCTATCATCAGACTATGTACAGATTGTGATCCAGATATTGTAGAGATATAACCTTCAAATGTATTTTCCAACAGATCTGGGACGCATGTATATGTTAGTATCAAGAATACCAGATGGACTTATCCAATTGAGAAATCTTCTTGAGAATCACATCTGTTATCAAGGACATAATGCTCTGGAGAAATGTTGTGAGCAGGCATTTAATGTGAGTTATCAGATTGTAAACAATGAAACTGTCAAGTTATAATTAATTAAAATATTTGTGTTATATATCAGGATCCCAAGGTGTATGTTGAAACTATCCTTGAAGTACATTGCAAGTATAATGCATTGGTTCTTACTGCCTTCAAAAATGATGCTGGTTTTGTTGCTGCATTAGACAAGGTACAGTACTTACATTATCTACAAACATTAATTGATATAGAGAGCATTGTAGCATGACCTTGAGAATTATTTGGAATTAATAGTCACAAGTAATGTTTTAAAAGTTCTTTGTAATTGTACAAGACCGACATGGCGAGTGCAATTTGAGAACTTTCAAAACATTACGAGTGAATATTAATTCCGAATTGTACAAGAGGTTGTGGGATTTTTTGTTTATAGTACATTCAGTGTAACAAAATTTTATAAGGAGTACAATTAATGCTGTAATATTGTACTCCTCTCAACCAATGAAAAAGTATTATTTTTTGGAATGTACTATAATGGTTGTTATGCCCACATGTACTTGCACACTGAACCTCAACACATACACTGACATATGCAGAACTTGTGAGAGAACTTGTCACTTCTGCCTTTTCAAGGCTGCAAATATCTGGATTATACAATGGAAACTTGTTTGTATCTATCTCTTACATACTGGCTTTTGTTTAACTACATCAAGGCTTTTGGTAAATTCATCAACAACAATGCTGTAACAAAACAAGCACAGAATTCATCTAAATCACCAGAACTACTAGCAAGATACTGTGACTCTCTCTTGAAGAAGAGGTTAGTGATGTCTTGTTATTGTGATTATAATAATTGTAAATATGGTAACTGTAAGTTGTGTTCTGATGTTGTTTAATGCTAATGATGTTGGCAATACTGCTGGTATTTTTGTTCTTGTAGATGATTGTATGGTTAACTTCAAGTTATTGTTTTTAGCTCAAAGAATCCAGAAGAAGCTGAATTAGAAGATATTCTAAATTCAGTGGTATGTTTATTACAATATCTGTAAAAAGGGTTGGTTTTGTTTAATAGTATGCCTATTTTATCATGAAGATATTTGTTCTGATTAACCTGTTTATCCTGTTTGTAGACCTTTATCACCATTCTAATAAGCCTGCTTATCTTGTAATATACCTGTTTATCCTGTTTTTCTAGATGATAGTATTCAAGTATATTGAAGATAAAGATGTTTTCCAGAAGTTCTATGCTAATATGCTTGCCAAACGATTAGTGCAGCACAATTCAGCATCAGATGACGCAGAAGCCAGTATGATCTCCAAGCTAAAGGTCATTCTTATAAATTTGTTTACCTCTCATTTACATGTGCTTTTTTTAAGTTTTATTTTTTTTTCTGAAGCTGTTTTCTTTTAAAAATGTTATTGCTAAACTTTATGATAAAATGTAAACTAAAAACATTACAGAAAACATTACAAAAAACATTATTCAAACAAGTATGTGTATCGATAATGCCTACACTACACTATGTATATTGCTTTTTTTCTCTTGGTTATCACTCTAAATGCAACTGTACTATGATCCTTTAGCAAGCTTGTGGCTTTGAGTACACATCTAAACTACAAAGAATGTTTCAAGACATTGGTGTTAGCAAAGATCTTAATGATAAATTTAAGGCACACTTGTCTAATACAGGGCCACTGGACTGTAAGTACAAATAAATGTTTTACTTTTTTATAATTACCATAGTCTACAATACCGAATAGTTAAACCTGTCCAGAAATTGCCTGATATGAATATTTTCACCAAAAAGTTGTTTAGTCAGCAGTTATTCCTAGTTCCAGACCTCCTATTGCTCCACAGGAAGCCCRAAGATAGGGTGTATGAGGGAGATGTTGGCCAGTATTATGTGATATTCATTTTTGTATTCAATGTTTAGTGGATTTCAGCATTCAAGTTCTCAGCTCAGGATCCTGGCCATTTCAACAGTCAGTTCCATTCTCTCTACCAGCTGAGGTACAATTATCTGTGTTGTAGTAAGTTAGACTAGATTAGTGTAGGTTTAAATGTCTTCTCTTTGTTTTAGATGGAAAAGAGTTATCAACGTTTTACAACTTTCTATAGTAGTCAGCATAGTGGTCGAAAATTGTACTGGTTATATCACAAGTCAAAGGTAAATAACAGTAACTTAATATATCAAAAACCATTTGACTGTAATTTGTTTGTTTTCCAGGGTGAATTGGTAACCAACTGCTTCAAAAACCGTTACACTTTACAGGTCAGTATTTAATGCAAGTCACAACGACTTGACCTTGTAATGAATTGATATGTTTTTTGAACTAAATGACGTGATATTGATAATAACTACTTTGAATATATAAAACAAATAAACATCTACATTTTATTTAGTCGGTAAAATCTTTCGATATCACACCAACTCTAAAATAAAAAGTTATGCTATATAAATAAATACACAAACAAAATATTGTACCTATCTAATGAAGAGGGACACTAGTGTCGGGATTGGGGGTGCATGGGGGGAGGGGTGGAGTGCATGCCTCCCCAAAGATGTAGCAAATGTATTTCCTGAAGTCTAGTGTGAGTTGCAGTACAATGTACTAACTATTTTATTATAATTCAGGCTTCTACGTTCCAGATGGGAGTGTTATTGATGTTTAACACTGCTGATAGTTACACAGTAGAACAGATCCAGGAGCAAACGCAGCTCAAAAAAGTAAACGAAACGAAAAATATTCATATTTGCAACATAGGTGCATTCATGTGTTAAAAAGTAGTAAAAATTCTTTCTTCCGYGCATGTAATCAGTCTTAATTTTAAATATTCATTTTTGGTCTATAACTTTGCAGGAGAATCTAATGCCGATCCTTGGAATCTTGTTAAAGTCTAAGTTATTGGTGAGGATAACATGAATAAGTTATTCTTAATATTAGTTTTCCCTAAAGTTTCTTGTTATGTTTAAACAGCTTTGTGACAGCGTTGAAGACGCTTCAGAGCTACAAATGGATTCTGTGTTGAAGTTATTTTTCGCATATAAGAAGTAAGTTCCGTCTACATGTGATTGTAGTTTCTAATCTAAAATCATTCATGGGATCACGGATATTTTTTGTATGTCAATCTTTTGTAGAAGTCTTTTTCAAGGGTTTAAAAACAACTAGTTATTTTAGAAAGTGAAGTGTATCTCTCTCTTTGTAGTAAAAAACTACGAGTCAATATCAACGTTCCAATGAAAATCGAACAGAAAAATGAACAGGACCAAACCCATAAGTACATCGAAGAAGACAGAAAACTYTTGATTCAGGTAACTATACATAGATTCATTATTACGTGCTAGGAAAGGTGGTAAACGTGACTTTTCCTGGAAAATACATTACGAATTCCTTTTGTACAGGATTCCACTGCATTTAAGTACAACGCGTTGACACGCCCTTTGATAACTGACAAAACAATTGTGAGAATATTCCTRTCGGCGCTTCCAGTGTATAAAACGTTGTTAGACTGTGTCCATACTTTTTTAGTTTTGAAAATGTCCGATAATAAACTATACCGACTGTCATTGTAGGCTGCTATCGTTCGCATCATGAAAATGCGTAAAGCCCTCAGACATCAACCTCTGCTGGCAGAGGTCTTATCTCAACTCTCCAGCCGATTTAAACCCAGGGTTCCGGTGATAAAGGTGAGCTAGTTATACTGTTTATTATTTTTTACACGAATTTTCTCCTCTCAATTCCATACTTTGAAATTATGCCGTACCAAAAACTGTTGTTAGCAGCATCATTGGTTTTCTCTGTCAGTTTCTCTCAATCCGCGTGTATATTCATCACTGAATGACGGTTTTGTTTTTCTTTCAAGAAATGCATCGACATTTTGATTGAGAAGGAGTATCTTGAACGCGTGGAAGGAGAAAAAGACATGTACGCTTATTTAGCATGACAGAGGTACACCAACCAACAACAGACAAAAAAAAGATTAGTTCATAAGACATCATGTCATATTCTAGACATCTTAATTGATGTTGACTGCTTGGAGCTCGAAATTCATTTACGAATTGTACAATTGAGAGTGTTGTGACCACCACCTTTGTTGAATCTATTCCAGTTTTGGCTTCTATATATGGCCTCTTTTTACTGTTAAAATTTAATCGTTTCTAATGAATGATACTCCAAGGCATTCAATAAAAAATTCATTGATTTTACTCTACGATTTTACTATTTGAATTGGCACTATTTCTCACACACTACTCTCCGTAATAAGGAACTCTCAAGAGACTTTTTGCAAGCAGAAAAGTCACGTATCGTTGCGTGTTTTATTATGTAAGTCGAAAAAAAAGAGCGTAACTAAGAAGGTGTAYAATATTCTGTTAGATAAAAACTATTGTATTACTTTCTTGAATTTTGAGTATTGTTGTTGCTGTTATTATCGCTGTATGAATCTTTTAGTCTTAAAAAGACCATTTTCAATCAAACAAAGGATTTTTTTATCAACAAACGCTTGATTAAAACCTGTCGAGTTCTCTTGTTCATTTTGCTATCCGGGCGTCGAATACCCGACCATTGAACTGGTTTTATTCAAAACACAAAGTTGAAACGAACTAGTTGACAGAAAAAAACATGTTTTTAAGCATTTGTTTTGTGTTAGTACATGTTGAATTGCGTCGAAAGGTTTTTCATTGTGTTTTCGTCATTTATCCAAGCTAACTCCACCCCATAGTTCCCGTATATCGTTACAATTCTGCCTGAAAGTACAATATTGTTACTTTATCAAAAAAATCTGTTGGACGTGGAGACGGCAGTGTTTATTCCCTGAGGTCTAGCCAAGTGGCATTCATTATAGTTTCTCTTGAACATAATGTTGTCTTTTTTGTCCATTACAAGTGTCAAGAACAAGTAAAGATCGTTGGTTAGCCGTTTGTTCATAGTGAAGTGTCATCAGTGACGTTTTTTCTTGAATTACGGCCAAGTTGCTCTTACCAGGTGTGCATAAGGAATTATAAAACCACGTGCTAACTTAAACCCGCGAGCTCTTGACACCAAAACAATTCCCAAACTGTAAATCTTGTTTCGTATTCTAATGTGTAGTTGATTTGAAGAGGTGAAATGTCAATGGCAAACACACTTACGATGTTCAAAAACACTCCTATACAGCAAGGCCTGATAAAAAAAATGGTGTTGAGGCGAACAGACCTTGTCTAAAGTAGTGATATACTTATTGATCTTTTCCTCGAGGCAATGTAATGATTACAACCATAGTCAAGTGCGATCAAGCGAAACTGATTCTAATGTGAAGTGTAGTATGACGTTAGTTGCAGCCAATCGCTCTCATCTTCTTCGTACCTTATTGACAATTCGTGTGTAAAAGGTTTGATTTCTAGTGGACGAACGCCTGTGGGCTGATATTTCTCGAACAAAACGTACTCCTCGGCTCTTTGACTACGCTAATTATCAGCTTCCAATAAACTTTATTCAACCTCTTTGTTAACAATTTACACTTTCTTAAAACGTAGATCTATACATTGTGGTTCCACGGTGTCTCGACCTTGTTACTTCCTTGGTTGAAATGTGAACGGATGGCACGATGGCCACCAATAAAGGGCGGAGCTTGACTACCTATTTTGTAAATCTCGGATTAGAGTGCATTGAGCTATGTTATGCTATGCCCAATGACATATAATGTATTGTTTTAAATTGTTTTAGGTATATATTTATAATATAGATAGATTTGAATAAGTTCCGAACGAACTCAGAACGATTTACAACAAACAGTTGACCCAATGTGGGTCAGAACACCCATCGCAGTACCGTATGACGATCGTAGATGCACGTGTAGAACATATACACACAGGTACAACACACGAGGTGTTCATCTGCCAACAGCCAGCAGTCCTTATACACTTTGTATGTCTTAACAAAGACGTGAAGCTATCCCTGTTTATGCATACTATTATAGGGAAATAGCTAAATGTACACTTTTCTATACTCTGTACTGGATAAGTTATGTACAGTTTCCACAACAAGTGAGTATAGTTTATTCTTCTCCTTAGTCTGTGAAGTGCACTGCATTTTCGTGGCAACTTTGACGGAGTGCTTGTACATGACTAGATTAAGCCATCCATGTTCACCATTAGYGGTTCTTCACCGTGATTTGGAACCTTTTTTCAGCTGTCCTGGAGGATTGGTCATGTTTTGTTTTCTTGTGTATCGCTTACACTTGCACGTTCGAACTACGGGTATTCGATATCTTCTTTTCGTACCATCGTTACAAAACACWGTCACTTTCCTCCGCTTTACATAATCTGGCACACAACGCCATTCTTTTTTCTTTTTGCTTAATATTTTGCTGAACTTCGGGAAGAAAGGCAGCTCTTCCATAGGCACACATCTGCCTTCACAAATAGTGTCTCGAATTGCTTTACGACTTGTACAAAATCCATTAGAAACATAACGTCGAATTTTAATCCCATGACAACCAAGATTCAGGATTCCTGTAAGATAATCAATTATAGAAATARTCAAAACCATAAGAAATGTTGTATAGTTTTTCAGTAAAAGACTTTTTTGACACGCGCCATGAAACACAAAGTGAACATACTAATTCGCCAAACCAATTCGCACAACAAACATTTTCGAAGCATTCAGGCCATGTGCTAACTTGAACAGCTCGCATATATATGTAGAAATCTTCCCAGATACTTACTTGGTTCTTCACGAGGCTGCTGCATAGCGAACAATTGTTGTACGTCGTTTTTCCCGCCAGAACTAGATTTGGTGAATGAGGTCTCGTTGAAAGCACGAGGTATTGTGGGCTTCGACTTTCCACGCTTACGACACAAGCCATCATCCAAACGTAGAGACAAAATAACCATGCCTAAGAGAAGCTTCCACATCCAACACCTCCTCCAAAGTTTCATGTTTACTGTCCGAAAGTCAACTCAATGTTTAAGGTTTGTTTTACAACGATTATTGTCCAAAAAAGTTTGGTTCAAAACCCCCACACGTCGAGTACAGCTACAATGTCAATAAGCTGAGCGACTGGCGCCTTTGCACTTCGTATCACAAGTCAACCAATCGTAGGCGCGCTAGCCACGCATCACAAGAACGGTAATTAACGCCACGACATTACAGCGTCCGCCAAAAAACACCACTGTTCTTTTGTAGAAACAAGTTCTAAGTAATGTTTTGTGGATAATTTTGCGTCTTTTAGCCTCAACTCATGTTCAAGAGCACGAAATACTGTTGAGCCTGTGTTCCTTTGAAGTGGTTTGCGTAGTGTAAACAGTTCTATTGAAATTCATTGACGTTCGGTCTTGGTTAGTTTCGACCAATAAGAACTARCTAAACTTGTAAATAAACCTGAAAGTAAGTTGAACAGTAAAAACTACTGACCCTTTACTTGACCTTGGAGAGGAGAATTAAAAGTCCCGAGTTTTATCATGGAAAATATGAAGCAAAAACAACAGWGCATTGTACTGATTACTATTGTTTGAAAACTTTTCCAAATTCGAATATACTTGTGACTTCCACCTGCAAATAAATTGTTATGCTGATTGACTTTGTACAGGCTCAGGAAGCAGAAGGCAAATGTACTGAAAATATTTTATCCCGTCATAATACGAATCAATGAGTGATTTTAAAACCAAGATGCTTCATCCAGCAACCAGACACTTTATGACACATTGTTAGTCARTGATCCTGCGGGATTGCAAAGCCTACCGCAAACTTTGTTATTATTAGATTGTGTCTTGGGTGTAAGTGGTTCGGTTTTCTTAACAATAATTTACTATAAACAAACCAAACGCTATCTTAAAACACTTTAGATTGTTAAGTATAATATATTTTCCTGAAGAGCTTCGTTGACCACGATCATCAAAACAATGTTAAAATGAAGTAAAAAAGCGTGATTTGTTTTTACTTTTGTCTCCTTTCTTTTCTTTTCTTGTTTTCTATTCTCTTCCCTCCTTTTACATCTCTTTTGTTTTTTTTTTCTTCGTTTGTTTCGTTCTTTTCTCGTTGAATCTATTTTTTGTCTTCTTTCTTTCGTTTATTATTCTTTTATTGACATGATTTCCTAAGTWACATCGACGTGTTGGTCCCTTGTCTCATCCTGAAACACATTTGGTTATCGCTAATACGGCCACAAGTCCGAGATTTGACTGGAGAACGTGATTCTTTGTTCTACTCCATTTTGTATCTTTGTTTTGATTCTTACATTGCGCTTTAAGTATTTTATTTCCTTRGTATTTTTACTTTGTTCATTGATTTATATGTTTTGCTTTTGTTGAGTTTTGCCTCACTTTGTCCACATTGTCTATAAGCTTTATAAATAATATTTCTTGTTTACGTTTTTTTGAATGAATTTTAAGTTTTTAAAAGCCAATATATATGTGTTGGCCAGCCTGGGGGTATATCTTTTCATCAAAAATCAGTCATTATTTAACATTTTGGTGGGCTATAGCACAGGCTATTTCATCAAAAATCGGTCATTATTTCTTGTTTACGTTTTTTTGAATGAATTTTAAGTTTTTAAAAGCCAATATATATGTGTTGGCCAGCCTGGGGGTATATCGTTCGTRTTTATAGTTCACCAAATCCTGTTTCCTTTCCTCATAAAAACTGTACAAGTACTCTGACTAAGTCTTTATAACATATACAGCGATTTGTTGAAATTGTACACGCRCGTCCATGAAAACTGTCAATCTACGACCGAATGGTATTATGGGCTATAGATATTCGCTCATCAAAGAGGCAGTTGAGTCAAATCAGAAGAATATGAATTGCATTGTTTGACGCTGTACTCTTCAGTACTGTTATACATTATCTCATTACTTCTACAAAACCTTTTTGAAGTATGCAAAAATTATAATGTTACAAATCACTAGCCCGTGAAGAAGAGCAGAATATAAATACATCGTTAATTAGTTTGTGATCCAAGCAAGAAATATTTATTATTTTAAAATAGCTCCGAGAAGACAAGCAAATAATATTGTATTAATTCGTTCAGTGAAGTAAGTTTTTGTTTTTACTGKACGGGAACACTATGACAAAAATGTAATGGACACAAAACTGAGAAGAAGAAAAAACAATAATAGACTTGACGTCAACTGTATATTAGTGTAATTATATTAGTGTAATATTACTTTATTCATATCTTCTTTTCACGGGAGTGGTTCGATGTGAAGTCATTTTCTCTTGAAACATTGGGTGATTATTCAATCAGTAGTGAGACTTTGTCTTTCAATCAGTACTGAGACTTTGTCTGTGAATAATAACTTAGACCTTATTGTGAAAGCTTGTCGGGAAAGCATCAATTCAATATCAAATACAGTAGAAAAAACTTTACAGTAGAAAAAACTTTACAGTAGAAAAAACTTTATAGTAACTTACTCGATATTGCAGCTAAATTAATACAAGAATACAATTATATATTTAAATACGAAAAATATCTTTGTATCGTAACAAATTAAGACCATGATATTGAATGATGGGAATGACGACGTAAAGAAACGAATTGACCAATCACAGCGCACTGTAAGAAATTCCCATGATACCGTGCGGGGTTGTTTAGCATCTGAAGCTAGAGTTCTTGGTATAGCAGTTATTCTCCGTGAGTTGCTCATCCAAGGTCGGTGAAAATGAAAATTATTAAAGATACTATATTGATAAGTTTTGTCCCTCCATTGTCGATAACTTACTACACCATACAATGAGAGAATAACACCACAGAGTACCGTACAAACATATTACTTTAATGTTTGCTTTTATTTTAACTAACAATTTTGTAAACCATWAGTGAKCCCCCAGCACCAACACCTGCCGGACAGTTTGATGAAGGACCATCGATGTCGTATTTCACTTTCGAATTAGGTCCACTCCAGCATTCACCGTAAAACTGGATCCCAAAATACTTATACCTGCATAGCAAGAATGCATTTATGATAACATGACTTATTTGTATTRTGCAGAGCTAAAATGTTATTTTCACAAAATTCCAGCGTGCTGACTACAGWGTTTTCAATGTYACTTACTCATTTTYGAGTGCCTTCTTTGCACATTTGTTGATCACCGTTGTTACAAGGTCATTCCAGTCAATTTCTGGTCTAAGGTTAGCCAGTAGTGTTGGAAAAGGACGTGAATTTGGTTTTCCTTTGTCAAAAAAGCAACCCACCTTGTTGTACTGGACTGGAAAACAAAAAACAACRTAACATAATTAACATTATGTCAGACCTATCATTGTTATTGAGAACACTTAGCTTTATAGTAAATTGATTCGTATGGCCTCGTTACCTGGTCCAGGCTCTGTAAAAATAATGATGTTAAAGTTTACATATAATTCATCTACCGTGTGTTATACGCACCTAGGTTTCGTTTATATGAAAATGAAAATAGATTTTACCATTCTTGTCTCGAATGATTAAAAAAAAAACAACAACAACAACAACAACAACAACAAAAAAACAGAAAGAATACACACGAGTTTCCTGCGTGCAATATGCACAACTACTGATCACAGAGAGGGCCCCTCGTAGCAACGCAGAGAAAGCTAGCGTATCATGAAGTCAAACACGAAATCATGAGATCTTGGATCGGTTACTTAACGCGAGAAAATCACACTGGATGCTGAGGAAATACCATCGGCAGAACACTCCCAAATATCATATACCATCGGTAATACACTCCCAAATATCGTATATCATATACCATCGGTAGAACACTCCCAAATATCGTATATCATATACCATCGGCAGAACACTCCCAAATATCGTATATCATATAACATCGGCAGAACACTCCCAAATATCATAATATCGACTTACTTGTTGTCGGCTCTGAAACAAACAAATGCACTATATTAGAATTCATGTACGAATTTTTTCCATGAAATTGTGCATTACCAGAGTACTACAAATTAGCGCTGAATCCGCAAACTCACGTCCTTGAAATCACTATAGTAATTTCTGAACATCATTTTTTTAATTTCAAAACAGTGCAAAGATGTTGGTACAATATCACTCTGGTTGAGGTTAAATGTGTTGAATTAAACAACTAGTTCAACAACCTAGTTCACAGTGTTTTCCAGTAAATCCAGGTAGACAGCTACAGTTATATCCACCATCATTGTTGACACATGTTGCACCATTTTGACATGGGTTTTTCAAGGAACACTCATCGATATCTAGGAGTAAATTGAAACATCATCTATCGCCGTGAACACAGATTCATTGCTAAAGCACCGGTACCTTGGTCACAATGTTTTCCAGTAAATCCAGGTAGACATCTACAGTTATATCCACCATCGTTATTGACACATGTTGCACCATTTTGACATGGGTTTTTCAAGCACTCGTCGATATCTAGATGTAGTCAGATTAACATACCTTCATAAAATCGTACTTTACGAGTATAAATAAGTTAAAAATACCGCTACCTTGATCGCAGTGGTTTCCAGTAAATCCAGGTAGACACTGACAAGTGTAACTTCCTTTGCTATTGACACATGTTGCACCATTTTGACATGGGTTTTTCAAGGAACACTCATCGATATCTAGATGTAGTCAGATTAAAAAACCTTCATGAAATCGTACTTTACGAGTATAAATATAGTTGAAGATACCGTTACCTTGGTCACAATGTTTTCCAGTAAATCCAGGTAGACACTGACAAGTGTAACTTCCTTTGCT